ATAAAAGGCAATAGACACCGGTCGGCTTGCATTATTTCATAGTTGTTGTTTGAGATGAATTTTAAGTATTTATATGATTGAAAGTTAGAAGATGAGTTTAATATTGTATTTTTGGTTTTACTGTAATGGTTAATTTGATTGTGATTAGTGAATTGAGGTAAATGTTCGTTAGCGTGACTTTTATTTATTCTATATGTTATTGTAACCATTTTTTCATTTGTTTTTAATAAAGATCTGATGAGGTTGGGGATATCTACCAACGAAACACACGTGTGTAACCTGAGATGATTGTTTGATTATTAATTTTTGACAACGGGTTGGCTCTCAAAATTGGATTTAAAAATTTTGTTCAACTACCTACCTGATTTTAGATACGTAGATATCATATCATTTCACTTACAATTTCATTTACATTCACAATATTTTAATATTACTTAAACTTAGAACACTTATAGATACCATCAATCTTGACAAAATTCCAGAGCAATACTAAAACCAGCCATACGCTTTTTTGCATATTTTAAGCCACACTGATTCCGAGGTAGAAAATGACTTTTTCGAAAACCTCTTTCAAACATTTTTTCTTAATTTATCAATATAGAATCCGTGTTAACGAATACCATGTCCCATCTAAATAATCGGTTCAGTCAAAATAACCTACTCAAAAGTACGAGTATCATTGAAAAGTTTTTGTTCAAAAAATCTAACATGACTCCGAAATGACCTTGAGAAATATTACCGTAAAGATAATAATTTTCAAGCCATTTAGACGGAAAAACTAAGAAAAAAAACTAAATTGAACCTTGTGGAGTAACCTTAGGGAATAACCCAGGGGTCTCCCGGATCATATGTTTAATAGGCCACCTAAAGGTAGTATTTCCCGCTCTTTCCAAATCCGGTGTAGAAAATAGTGGTTTCTATTATAAAAAGCAAAGTTGACCTTGTAATGACCTTGATATAACCTTGAAGGTCGAAGCCAAGGTCACCAGAAGATGCCCTTCTCACAGTCTGGTAACTTTCCTCTGTAACATTTTTCGCTAAACCTTACCGCTGCCAGGTCATTTAGATGAAAAAATTAAGAAAAAAAAGATTGAAGTTTGCATGACCTTGGGGGTGAACTTGAGATTCCAAATGTAATAGATCATCTGAACGTAGAATTTCCCACTCTTTCCAAATTCGGTGTTAAAAATAGGGGTTTCTATTTAATAAAACAAAGTTGACCTTGAAACTGACCTTCAAGGTCAAACTCAAGGTCACCGCAATATGTGTTTCTTAGAGTCTAGCAACTTTCATTTGAAGCATTTTTCACGCAAACACGTATTTCAGATTTTAAAAGGGGTCTACGGGTGATCTGAAACACCCGGTATAGCTTTCTGTAGTTCTAGCTCGTAATACCCTCCACCAATTGGATTACCTTTGTAATCGCTTAAATGATAAGTGACAGGCTTTGTCTTCGCAACTCGTTCAACAGTAAAAATCTCCGATAATTACTTAGGAATGTATCTTTTTTCGAAAACGTGTTTAGACTTGCTCATACGTACTTTATCGTCGACTGGAAATTTAAGGCTCTTGATGAAAAGACGTTGGTCGTAAGAGAATCTTCTTCACACTTGTATTTAATTCTCTTTAGTCACGTCCTTAGGCTTCATATCTATTGTATAATGTTTTCGATTATTGTAAGATTTCAATAAATCAGTTAGATTGTCGATCCATTTGTAATTTTCTTATAGGTTGAATTGTTTCCACATAATATTTTTTAGCGTGCGATTGAAAACGTTCACAAATAGATGCCTTAGGATTGCTATAGCTCGAATATAGATTTATTTTATATTTTGTCATTAGATTTTGAAAATTCGATTTGTAGAATACTTTGCCACGGTCCACATGGAGATTTTTAGGAATGCGTTCTTTTTTTAATATAGACTCCATTGCACTAGCAACATCTGCTGTTTATTCAGATATTATTTTTTTGTGAAGTTCATTACATTGTACCAAGAGACGATCTAATACACGGTTTACTATTGCAACCTTCTTCTCAAATTTCTGTTGTATTTGAGTAACTTTTTCTTTAATATTTCTAACCTGCGCTTCAATTAACCGAGATATGAAGTCTAATTTTACTGCGTCTTCAGCTTGCAGAGGCTGATAAATATTGAATTGATATATATCAATACAGATCCTTTTGCGTCTGCAATTAAGTGACCATCTACAGTGATTTTATACCTTATACCGGAAGGACCGCGAGAATTCTTTTCTTTGTTCAATGTACATCCAAATACATCAACGCTCTTGTTAATATTGATAGATCGTTCAAGCTCTCCTAATATATATATCTTGCTTCACATAATTTTTCAATGATTGAGTGAATTTCATTCATATGACTAGGATTACCAGCTGCTTGTTCGACTATAAGTTAACTTAGTCGATCAACAAGCTCGTTTGCATCATCCCAATATATATATAATCAAATAATGTCCCTTTTCTTGCTATTCTAAAATGACGTAAAAGACCTCTTCCATCAATAGTCGATTTACGTTTCTTAACCCTACCCCTCAAAGATAAATTTGGACCAGTGTACTCCTTGAATTTGTTTGCGTGCTTATTTCGATATTCTCTATTTGCTTCAAATCTCTTACGACGAACATTAATGATTTCAAGAATTTTTATATAATTTTCAATATGCGATAAGCTGATTAATTTGAAATCGGGTTCTTTATGAAAGAGAAGTTTTATTAAATCAGACGTCTTGCTGTATGCTTTATCATTCAGAGTTACATTATCGTTTTCAAAGTAAATTGGAGAATTGCCTATGACATGTATTTTCTTACAGGCGGACACCAAATGTCTTGTCTGAATTACTTTTTTGCTGAGGTTCATGCAATAGTCGAACATAGTTTCCTACAATCAAATCATCCAATAGCTGTTGTCTGTTCTGTAGTTACATTTGAGCTAATTTTGTTTAAATTTATACCAGTTGTATCAAGTGATGATTCAGCATTCTTACCAAATTCGTCATTATCTTCATAAATAGAAATAGCGGATTTAAATGTAGTATCAAGCGGTTGCAATGTAGAAATTAATTCAATAGCACTACTATTGAAATATTGATATTTATAGGGAGGGTCACCTATTACTTTTGACTCAATAACTTTATCAAACGCAATTTTCTTTTCCTTTTTCGTTACCTGTTCAGTACTAATAGTAGTAACATTACTTTTATTAGTAGCTAGCTCTACGAATTTTTTGAATGGATCAACCATAGGTTTAAAGTTTCATGCAATGTCTTTTCTAAATCAGCTTTGCCAACTAATAAATATTAACAATTTATTAATTGATACTTGCGTCTGATGGCATCATGAGCCTTCGATAATTGCTTGAGCACCATCTTTTCTCTTTTAAAGTCAGCCATGTTGACGCTCGTAATTTCTAAAGTTAAATAATCTTCATCTGCTCACTCCGCTATATTTATAGCAAAAGAATCAAATCCCTTTCTATAGCGTTCACGATTTATTGATCTGTTTCTATCGATAACCAAAAATCAATGATAGTCGTCTCTCCAACATTATGAAGAAATTTCTACAAACTTTTCAAAAGACATATCCAAGTTAACGTCATCATTGTAAATGTGTTTAATATTCATGTCATCTTGTCGAAACAAAACTAGTAAATTCACATTATCTCGAATGAAATACTTCGGAATGCGAGCGTATGATTGACAGAGATAGAAAATATCTACTTTTATATTTCTTCGCATACAGAAGAATGCTCTTATGTTATCTTGCTTCTTTGTGGCTATATCGTCAAAAATCATGACAAAATTCGGCCGTGTTTTATCTGGTGAAACAGCTGTCTCATATTCACTGAATGCATGATACTCTATACCATTAATAGTTTCTAATGAATCTTTCAAAAATTTATACTTGGGTTGATTAAGGGGTTTTGAGTAGATAAATACCTTTTCAAATCTAAAATCATTAGGATAAGTGATTAATGTTAATAAACAATTAATTTTTCGGTAGTTAGTAGGTCTATAGAACACGGTACGTATACTGTTAGGCAATAGATCGCCATGTTTTTTTTCTTGTATTTCCATCTCTGCCACCCCATCGAATTTATGACTTCGAGCTTAAGAGGCTGATCTTAGAAATCCATGTTGTTTACTCGTCACTGATACATCGAAGAATAGGGTGTGAAAAGACTGCTTATATATCTTTTATTTTATTAACATGTTGTCTTTCGAAGAAGTATGATCATGTACTGTAAAAAATCTGGATATCAGTATTGTGGTCCTGATACTAAATTGAACAAATGATTCGTGGATGGAGATCCTGGTAAAAATCTACTAGACGCTGCTTGTAGAGAACACGATATCTCTTATTTGCAAAATCGAAAGGATATTGCGACAAGAAATAAAGCTGACGAAATTCTAGCTAAAAAAGCTTGAGAAAGAGTGCTATCTAAAGATAGTAGCTTTGGTGATAAACAGCTGCCTTTATCGTAGCCAACATCATAAAAGTTAAAAGTAAGCTTGATATCAGTGTTGATATGATGAAAGGTAAAAAAAAAGGAGGCAGAGGATTCAAAAAACGCCAACCATAAGAGAAATGTAGAAAAAGCAAATAACCATCAGTTACATTGAATAAAATTATTAAGGCGACCTTTAAAAGTAGTGTGCCTAACTGTCGATCTCTTGTAGTCATTCGTTCGCCTATAAAAGGAGTCAAAGAAGCTGTGAAAAAGGCCGGCAGTAGAAATAAAATAAATATACTATATATTTTACCTATTCCCAGTAAAGTTGGTAGAGCGCTTTCTTTTTAATTCCATTATTTGCGGCGTTAAGCGCTACTGTAGCTCTAGAATTTTTTCCCTCTATAAAAAAGAGAACCGAAAAAAGTGATTCCAGTTTATTCGTGATCTGATTGGCTGACAGTAGTCACGTGGAATATGACATAGCGTAGTCGGTAGTAGTAGTGACAGGCGTTTGAATATATTGCAGCTAACGTCAATGTAGTTAATGCGGATGTGTGCATTGTGTCTCATTTTATTGCCGGCTGTTTATAACTTCTATCCAGATTTATAATCAACATCTGCAGTTCAAGGTAATTATAAAAATATTGCACTAATTTAGAATATTTGCTAAAATGTTTTTATTAAAAGATTTTCTGTATTAGAAATTTTATCGTTTCTGTATTAGAAATTTTATCGACTTAAAAAAAAGGTTATGTTATTACGACCACGTGTTTCAAATTTTTAACTGAAAAAAATAAAAGTTTAAGTGTCACGACCACATGCTTTTTTACTTTTAATAATTTTCAAATGAGATTTTCATTATAGTTTTTTATTTGCAGATGGACAGTGAGAAAGAATACGTTTTATCTGACAATGAGCTGTTTGATGACCTTATTGACAAAGATAAGACAACGTAAGAGGCTAATTTTAATTTGTATCTAATCAATCAATTTCTTTATATTTCTTTTTATTTTTTGTTTCTATTTTTATAGTGAAATCGTTGGCTACGTCATCGAAACTCAAGCTCCAAGGGACGTGTATCAAACAAAACAATTTAGATTGTTTAAATTTGTCCTCACAAATGGAGAAAAAAAAATTTCATGCTGTGTTTGGAATGATGAAATTCCAAAATACGAAAATGAAGTACAACATCATCGTGTAAGTATCTATTAGTATGCAATTTTAGTATTTCAATTTTTTAATCTTTTTTTTATTTTACAGGTTTTGCATATTACAGGGGGATTGACCAAACATGTAAAGTCAAATTACATTAAGTTGAATGAAGGTTTCGTTCCATTTGAAATTACCATTGTGGCCAGCACCGATGTGGAGTATATGGGCTACCATAACGACAATCCAAGCAGAGTACAAAATGGTCCAGTAGCACCCATTCCCATCACTTTTGAAACGGCGAGAGAGCACAAAAAAGCCTTAGTTGGTATGTGATCAGACTTTCTTTTATTATATACAATAAATTATCTAATTTTAATATTCTATTTCAGTCATCACAGGCTTTTTAAAACAAACTTTCCGTATTGTTAGAAGCCGATATGGCGATATGAGTTTTGGAACTGGTGCCTTATGTGACGGAACTTACAAAATTAATTTGATTATTTCAAATTTTGCGGAAAGCGATATAGCACTTGGTGAAAATATTACTGTCACTGGGGAAATAACTGAAGAAGGTATGTTCAATATATATATATATATATATATATAAAGTATAATATTATTAAAATTTCAAAATCGTTTTTTCAGGTGGACTAACTATGATTACTTGCTGGGACATGACATGCATTGAGCGAAATAATAATGTGGATAACATGCCACTTGCTCAATTGAGCAAAGCAACCAAAATCCCAAAGCGAAGAGCTGAGTAGGCACATTTTTTTTTTAAATAGTAACTTTTGATAGTCGATTGCTTTCTTTGTCATTTGAAGAAATTATTTTCATTCCTTATGGCTATTCATTATGTTTTTTAACCTCAGTCGACTCTTTAATTTTTTTTTTAATGTTTCTTTTAAAAAAAAGTACAAGGGGAAATTGGAGATAAAAATTGCTTAAACTGGTGTTTAGCAAGCAATTTAGTTTGCCAAATTTAACCATTATTACTAAGTATACAATTTTCCATGATCAGAACAGAGTTTCTTACAAAAAAGTTTAAGTTTTCAATTTTTTAAAATTTCAGTTTTCAAAATTAATAAAATATATAAACTCTATTATGTGCATGTTTGTACGTTACATCTTTTGTGACAGTCTGATTATAAAATCATATATTTTTAAGTGACAAGCTGTAAACATTTGTGATTTGCTAGTATTAATCGACCATTTCATTCCATGTTTGGTAATCGACTGTGACTCTCTAAATAAGATATTATGGATATGTAATGTACATAAATATTTTTATAATTTTCCAATGGTATTAGGTTTACATATTAAGATATGTACTACTTGAATAAGAGACTTTTTTTAGGTATTAAAATTAAGATTACATTCACACTAAACGTGAGCCACCAGTATGTAATTGTGACAGTAATATCTTATTGTAGTTAGCGTTCTTTACTCTTACATTATTTTTAAAAAGAAAGATGATTAAGACTGATTAATTGCATTAATTTATTAATAAATAAATATAGCAAGAGCTTTCTATTGAAAAAATGTTTCCTTTGCTAACATATATATGGTAAGGCCTCTGAACATAAAGATATGATTATTATTGTGGTGAATAAGTGCTCTTATATATGTAATAAGTTTGTAATACGCACATTGATATTTCATAAGGTACTAGATAATGTTTAGACTCGAATGTTAATTTGATTTTTCAAATATTTAAACTGCGTTGAGTGTTGTAAAACGTTATAAATATTGTAGTCCGATTTCAAGTGTTATCCTGTACAATGTGCACTTCATATACATGTGAAACTATACATACTTTCAGTTATGCTCGATAAAAAGCACTCATACTCAAATTGTAAGGAAAAATATTTGTGTTTAATTGTCATCTAATGTAAACTACGTATGATATGTGTAAAATTTAATAAAAATAAAGACTCCTTCCCCTTATGCCAATGAATAAAATTTGTTTGTGAATTGAAATTTGTTTCTTTTATATTTCATTATTATTACCATGCAACTTTTAATGAACCTACTATGAAAATCTACTTTAATCCATGAATATATTTTTACATAAAATAGTTCCTTCCCATTCAAAATTGGATTCTATATAAAAAAAATTAATGTTGGCATTGAATACATTTAGATTAGTGCAGACAATTTATGTGTCAAGCTCATGGGTAAAAAGTATATTGTTACGGTATAGAGAGCGCAGCGTATGCATGACATCACAATACGGCTCTAGCTGGTGAACACGTTTTCATAAAAAATAATTCGAGGACATTGCACATTAGCAGTTATTTACTAAACACTATTTATTTTCACGATTAGTACTATTTGTACAAAAAAGCTGAATAGTGAGTGAGGCAGAAAATAAAGCTTTCACTGTAAGTATTCATAGAATATCAATTTCATTATTATCCGAGGTATTTATAACCTCAATTAATTATTTATTTTATTTAAAGAGTATTGCTTATCGAGTGTTTAGATTTTTTCATAGACAATATTTATTGATGATGATTGATACATGATTTCATTATGAGTAAACACACAAAATAAAAGGATGCTATCACTTTCATTTACAGATATTCCTTTACTTAAACAAGATAAGAAGAGCATAAGCAAGTAAGACGAATAGACGTTTGAATAAATTGTTGGAATTCACAAGGATGACTCGACAATCAAATCTTCTTGATAAGGTACTTTGAAACTATCCTTTTTATTTTTTTTCAATACATCATTTTCTAATAATCAGATTCTCTAAATATTATGAACTTCATTTTATTTTCTCTGTCATACTTTTTTAATGATGAAGTTATAAGTCAACATTGATAAATCTTGATATTAAATTACTCTTTCTTGATTATTCAAGGTGAGTTTCTGGTGAAATTTTGTATTTTTTGTTTCAACACATGTTTAAATATATTTCAATTTCTCAATATACAGTTTCCAAATTTCTTTACTTATTCTGCTTCATTAAAAGGATATTTTAATACCCATTTGATTCCATTAGTACAATTCTGTATATATATGTGTGTGTGTGTGTGTGTGTGTGTGTGTGTGTGTGTGTGTGTGTGTGTGTGTGTGTAATTTGTTTTTGTTAATAAATGTTCCATACGCATACTACTTTCATTTCTTCGAGGGCTCATTTTCGTTGATGAAGGAAGTGTTTCAATGCTTACTTGACATTTTTTACTAAAACCATCCAATCGTAAATTGAAATAAATCATGAAATGTGAAGCAATAAATTAATATTTCACTGATTTTTTCTATTTTAATCATATTTCACAGTTTATTTCAATTTAAGATAGGTTTTAGTAAAAAATGTCAATTAAGCATTGAAACACTTCCTTCATCAAAGAAAATGAGCCCTTGAAGAAATGAAAGTAGTATGCGTATGGAACATTTATTAACAAAAACAAATTACACACACACACACACAGACATATATATATATATATATACAGAATTGTACTAATGGAATCAAATGGGTATTAAAATATCCTTTTAATGGAGCAGAATAAGTAAAGAAATTTGTTTAGGTCATAATATTTATACGTCATAAAATAGTATACGCATTGAATATTTTAAAATTAAGCTTAAGAAAACCCTTATGCTTATAAAATAGACTTTTGACCATTAATAAAATTTTGACAGGTCTCAAACATTCTATTTTTCAAATATATAATATGTTATAAAAATTATGGAAAGCTAGGTACAATTTTACCAGAAACCTACCTTCAGAGTGTAGATGAATAACATAAATCTGGTTATGATCGTAATCTCATAAAAATATTAATATTTCGTTTATCAGCTATGCCTGCCTCATTGTATGAATATAAAAAGTTGTAGAAAGATGTAATATAACCAGATTTGCAAATATTATAAAGTAATATGTTCATAAAATAATAATTATGTTTTTTTACAGGTTGCTGGAAAATAATCAATATTTATTTTACTGAAATACATTTACACATTTTTAAATAAATACCAGACAGTAATTAATTGATAATTTGTTATTTATTATTATTGCCTACTGATCTTTATTAGTATATATTTCAATTCTTAATTATTTATCAATAATATTGTATTGTTTGCCGAAATACAAAAACCAAACCAAAGCCAAACGTAAGCCAAATCCAACTATAAGCCAAACCAAATCCAAGTATAAGCCAAACCATATCCAAACATATGCCAAACCAAATCCAAACGTAAGCCAAACCAAATCCAAACGTATGCCAAACCAAAGCAAAATTAGAAGCCAAACCTAACAATATCGAATACAAAAATAACATTACTAAATTCAATGATTATTAAATATCAATTTAGTTAGAAAAATGAATATTTATAACTAAATTGATATTTCATAATTACGTTAATTGAAAACTTTATATCATACTACTTTCAGCCAATCAGATCACGAATAATCTGAAATCACTTTTATCGGTTCTCTTTTTTATAAACGGGATAAGTTCTGGTGTAATAGAATATTTTTGAACCTTGAAAATATTGGAATAATAGGTTACGTGCTTTAAACACACATTACGATTACAAAAGAGGTAATAACTATCGTTTCCTACTCTGATCAAGTTGATCTATCGTTCATCCGATTAAAATGGGTAGAAAAAAAATAGTACGTACTCTAGACGAAGAAATACTTTATCAAATTCAGAGACGTTCGAGGAAAGCAGAAACGCTGAGACTACGTCGTCAAGTTGCACGTCAGTCTGTACATGATCAACGTCGAAATACTATACTAGGGCAAGATTATTTAGGAAAAATGGATTTTTTATGTATGCATTGTAATGCAAAACACTTTGAGTCGGAAAAAGTTGCAAAGAAAGATTTGTCTTTTAATGATTGTTGTTCCCACGGGGCAGTAGTTTTAGATGATACACCAATTTTTCCTGAAGAACTTTCTTCTTTATTTAATGGCAATCATCAAAATTCAAATAATTTTTTTGAAAACATTCGTTATTATAATAACTCATTATCATTCGCATCGTTTAACGCTAATTTAGTTAACTTCCAATCTCGCCGTCTGGGACCATATTGCTTCAAAATTCATGGATAAATTTATTATCAAATTAACACAGCTTTGTATCCTTGCGAAAATGAAAACCCTGCATATGGACAACTTTTTTTCATCGATCAACGTTGGACATGATAATACGAGAAAATAACATTTTTGCACAATCTTACGCAATGATGAAACAAGAAATAAACGAACAGCGATTAATAATGAATTCTGATAATGAACCTGAATTGCAATTATTATTTTCTTTAAGACCAGGAACTGATAGGCGAAGATTCAATTTTCAGCGAACAAATGAGGTTGCTGCTATTTTCTCAACAACAGCTGATGGTGAAATTCCAGAATCCTATGTAACTATTAGAAACAAAAATACAAAAGTATTACAATGTGTTAGCACTATGGATCCGAACGTGGAACCATGGATATATCCACTTTTTTATCCTTATGGATCACGAGGATGGCACAGAAATTTGGAACGTATTAAGATCAACGATAATGATCCAAGTCGACGAGTAACGCGATTGGCATATACAAAATATAAAATTGCTGCAAAGCCAGATGAATTCAACCCTATTTTATTAGGCCGTCGATTATTTCAGCAATGGGTAGTAGACTCTTATGTTAAAATTGAGAAAGATAGAATTCAGTGGTGCAAAGATCATCAAAATGAAATCAAAGCAGATACGTATCAAGGATTACACGATTATTTACAAAATTCTGCTAATGAAATTGAGGGACAAGTAGGTAAAACTGTTAT